CTCTCACCCTGGCTGGCTGATAAGTAGTCGAGCTCTGTAGCTCATGGTTAACACATCTGCCTAAGAGGCAATAGAACACAGGTTCGATTCCCAACATATAGTACACACACACACACACACACACACACACACACACACACATGTGTTTTTTTTATTTGTGCTGATAAATAAATAAAGGGAGACTAGTATAGATCTATTTCAAGCTATTTAGCTCTCATCAGCTAGCCATACCCTTACTGGGATTTGAACCTGGGCTATATTGCATACTAGGCATACTAGGCAGAGATCTTAGCCATTAGGCCACAGGCTCTTATCCTGTTATCAGCGAAGCCAGGGTGAAAGGTATCTATTAGATTTTTACAACCCCGAGGGAGAAAAGGGGATATGACAGGTGAGGCTTCTGTGGGGCAAGCCTGAGGGAGAGAAGATGATAAGATAGGTGGGGCTTCTGTGGGGCAAACCTGAGGGAGAGAAATGGATAGGAGAGGAGAGGCTTTTGTGGGACAAGCCTGAGGGAGAAAAGGGGATAGGACAGGTGGGGCTTCTGTGGGGCAAGCCTGAAGGAGAGAAGGGGATAGAATAGGGGAGGATTTTATGGGCCAAGCTGAGGGAGAGAAGGGGATAGGATAGGGGAGGATTCTGTGGGGCAAGCCTGAGGGAGAGAAGGGAATAGAATAGGGGAGGTTTCTGTGTGGCAAGCCTGAGGAGAGAAGGGGATAGGAAAGGAGAGCTTTTTGTGGGGCCAGGCTGAGGGAGAAAAAAGGATAAGATAGGGGAGGTTTCTATGGGGCAAGGCTGAGGGAGAGAAGGGGATAGGATACAGGAAGCTTCTGTGAGGCAAGGCTGAGGGAGAGAAGGGGATAGGATAGGGGAGGCTTCTGTGGGACAACCTGAGGGAAGAGAAGGGAAGAGGAGGGGTTGATGGTAACTACTCATTAATTTTCAAGCTGTAAGTATCAATTTATCAAGCATAATCACATAGCTTCGTAGCGGAACACGGGTATTCATCTAGTTCCAAATATACTTGAAGGAGGACAAGTATAAAAGGCAAAGCTTATCAATTGAATGGCTATTGATGAACACAGGATGTATTGATTATAAGACACCGTAACTGTAATTTCCTTAAGTGATGTGATGGAATGGAGTGGAATGGAATAGAATAGAATAGAATAGAATAGGAGAATATTGACCAAGTGTGACTGGACACACTGGAATTTGTGACTGGAATTTGTCTCCGGTGCATAAGCTCTCAAGTATACATACAAACAACAAGGTGATGGGTCGTTTTTTTGTCACTTTCCATAAGCAAAATAACGTAAAACAGCTATATATTTAATAAATTAGTTCAGTCCTGAAATGACAAATATTGGTCACCTTTTTACATATCAAGTTTTATTCCTTTCCTGTGTTAGCTACTGTATTAGTTACTGTATTATTTATGTATTAGTTATGTTAGTTACTGTATAAGCACCATAGAGCAATTACTGTCTTCTTGAGATGAGCCATTAATCTTAATGGTAAGTCTATTAAAATCCATTTTTGCTAAAACACACGTATACTTGTTATGGTATAAAATTAACATGGAACTTACCAGTACAAAGTAATATGCATATACAGCTAGTACATGGTGAATTACAAAATATATGTCTCCAATTGCCTTCCAGTGAAAAATAATAAGCAACAAATCTAAAAAGGAATAAAGAATGGGTGAGTAAAATTCTACAATTATTATATTTTATTTTAAAACTTTTAATGCTGCAAGGCAGAGAGCCAAAATTACTTCTCTTTTTCTGTTATCATGATAAAAATTTCCAACTGGCCATTGCCAGAACATCATCAAAAATAGAACCCAAGGCTTTGGCTTATGATCTCTTCACACTTATCGTTCCTAGTGATATAAATATCAGATTTGCCTCACCATAGGAAGTTATTATCAAATCTGGTCCTGAAGTTTAGGGGTGGAATTCTACCAGTTCGGACTGGTTAGGGTGAACCGGTTCGCGCCAACAATCAGATGGGCCCATTCACCCGCCCTTTTTTCGGCAGAGCAGATAGCTGCGTGAATCAGCTGTGTTACTCCTCCGAAGAAACCCAGAAGTGAAGATTTCTTCAAAGTGTGCATGTGCGTGCAGCGCACGTCAGGTGTGCATGTGTTCAAATTGCGCTATCACCGAACCGGTTGTTAAACCGGGAGGATCCCACCACTGCTGAAGTTGCCAAATGTTTCAAACAGTAGCAATCTCCTCCCGCCTTATGTTTAGAAATGTTTGAGTTTTTATTTAAGACATGCAAGAGGAGATGCACACTGTATTCATGTGTGTCCTGAAGTAGCCTTTTAAAACTGGGGACCAGTGGTGAAGAAGTTGAACTTTCAAAACAAAACAATATGTTTTCCCACTGATTAATCAATAGCCATCTCAAGGAGAACTCAGAGGAAGACATGTAATTAGGAAGCTAAGTTTTCCTCCTTCAACAGCCCTCATTTATTTTCTCTTAGTTATTTTTCTATGGTTATTAAATTATCGATACCAAATTAGAACTAGCACCATAGAAGCAGGAAGAAAAATTGGGGAAAAGAGTAATTCTTGTTACTCAGGCTTAAGAATGAGAAATTGACAGAAGGAAATATTTTGATACGTAACACAATACTGTCATGTTATTAAATAAAATAACCATATTTTTACAGCACAATTTTTGGTGTGAGGGAAAATATGGTCTGCTTCCTACAGACAGACTTTCCTAAAGAGGGCCCTGTTTTGGAAAACCTTCTGTTAAAAGGTTCTTTCCAAACAGATGGCTTACAATCAATTATACACGTAAAATTTTACATATTACCTGAAATGAGGTAGCCTACAGAGATATCAAGATTTAGTTGCACTGTAGAAGGATCGCCCCTATCAACAAAGACATCCAAGGAACGACATTACGTTAAATGTAACACAACGTAAACATTTTGCATTTTGCTTATTTTTTATTTCCCCTCCACATATGATGATTCACTTTTTTTGATGTTGGAAGAGAGACACCACATCCGGTAAGATGATCCTACAACTCTGGTAAATGGCAAACAGGCAAGAGAAAAATGTTTCTGGACAGACATATTTAAGAAGATTAATGTATAATATTCTGAAGACAAAAAATTGAGAGGATTAGCCATTATTCAGCCGGTTAGATTGTTAACTTCCTCCACCTTTGCTCTATCTGTTTCAATTAAGGGGGAATAATATCTCCATTCCGGCACAGGAAGTGATCCAAAGAATGTGAGTAAAGGTAATCCTCAACTTATGAGGATTACCTCTAAGTCAGTGGTCCCCAACCCCCGGTCCGCGGACCGGTGCCGGGCCGCGGAGTACCTGGCACCGGGCCGCGGAAGCCGGGTGTTCGCTGTCCCAGGCGGCCCCGCTGCGGGGAAACGGAAGCCCCGAGAACAAAACAGGCGT